CCATTAACCTTCCAATATAATTTTTCACAAAATCAAATGTATCAGTACTCAAATAGGTCCATTTTCCTTTTTCTGGGAGCCTTTGGGCTCCTCTTCCTGAGTGATGTGCCTGTTCCAGGCTGCTCGCTCTCTAGGCCTGCTGTAGAGCTGTTATCTTGAAACCTCCCTTCACCTTCTCCTGTGCTGGCTTGGGTTTCCTGAACCCCATGTTTTCCTCTTTCCCAGTTTGCCCCCTTATTTTCCTAGAGCACATCTTCCAGTAGTTTCTTGAGAAAGAGTGCATGGGATGAAACCACTTTGATACTTTGCATGTCTAAAAATATATTTTTTTATACTTTTACTTCCAGCCTTGGAATGTGCTTGTTTGTAAAATGTGGCTAGGTATAGAATTACACAGAGAAAATCATTTACCCTCAGGATTTTGAAGGCGTTACTTCATTGTCTTTTAGCTTCCAATTCCCTGTTGAGAAGTCTGATACCATTCTGATTGCCAGACCTTTCTACATGCTCTTCCCCTCCCCCCAGAAGGTTTGAGGAGAGCATAATGATTAGAAGTATGGACTCTGGGGGCATCTGGCTGGCTCAGTCAGTGGAGCATGCAACTCTTGATCTTGCCGTTGTAAATTTGAGCCCCACACTGGGTGTAGAGATTACTTAAAAATAAAATCTAAAAAAAAAAAATAATAATAATAATAATGGACTCTGGATTCACACTGCCTAGCAGTTAGCCTGCGCAACTTTGGACAGATTTCTTAATCTCTTTGCACCTCAGCTTCCTCATTTGCAAAATGGGGTTGTTGGCAGTTCAAATGACTTAATATATATAAAACACTTCTCTTTATCGCTGGTATTTTAAAATTTAATAAAATTAGTGTAGGTCATTTTTCATTCACTATGCTGGGAAGTCAAGAAATGTGTGGTATTTACAACTTTTTAAATTTTAGACAACTTTCTCGTATCATTTCATGTATGTTTTTTCTTCCGTTTACTTTATTACCTCTTTTTGGAGTTCCTCCTAGATGTTGAACCTCCAGGCTTACCTCTAATTTCCATAATTTTTTTCTTCTAGTGTGCATCTTTTTGTTGTTCTACTTTCTGATAAATTTCATCTTCTAAGTATTCTAATGAATTTAAAAAACTTTAGCTATATTTTATATTCTAAATGCTTTGTTCTCATTACCTTTTTATGAACCCTTTTATCTTCTTTACCTCTGCTTTCTTTTTTTTTTTTCTTCTGCTCCCTGTTTTGTCTCTTTACTGAGTTTTTTGTTTCTTTGACTTCTTTTCAAGTTAGAGGCTCACCTCAAATGTCTGGTGACCCTTGACCGCTTATATCTAAGAATGAGGCATTGAAAAGAATGTGCTTGAAACTTTTCAACTGGGAGGCTTCCTGGTACAGGGATTTTCACTAGGGGCTCCCTAAATGTTTATAGGTCTTTTTCCTGGGCACATTTTTTTTCTCCAGAGGAGCAAAGGTGGTATAAGCTTCCTGGACTGTGTTTTTAATAGTTAAGGGGAGGAAGCGCCTGTGTGGCTCAGTTGGTTAAGCGACTGCCTTCGGCTCAGGTCATGATCCTGGAGTCCCGGGATCGAGTCCCGCATCGGGCTCCCTGCTTGGCAGGGAGTCTGCTTTTCCCTCTGACCCTCCTCCTTTCATGCTCTCTGTCTCTCATTCTCTCTCTCTCTCTCTCAAATAAATAAATAAAATCTTTAAAAAAAAAAAAAGTTAAGGGGAGGAAGGGGGCTGGGGCAATCTCTTTCAGCCTTTATTTATTTATTTTTTTAATATTTTATTTATTTATTTGACAGAGAGAGACACAGCCAGAGAGGGAACACAAGCAGGGGGAGTGGGAGAGAGAGAAGCAGGCTTCCCGCAGAGCAGGGAGCCCGATGTGGGGCTCGATCCCAGGACCCTGGGATCATGACCTGAGCCGAAGGCAGACGCTTAACGACTGAGCCACCCAGGCGCCCCTCAGCCTTTATTCTTGTTTTTGTTCAGGCCCCCTGTCCTTTACTGTGGTATCCCCAACTTTGCAGTATTTTTAAAATTAATTTTCCAGGAAGTAAACCTCCCTTTACCTACAGAGGTGAGAGGCAGTCATCTGGCTATGTGACGTGGGGGAGAGATTTGTGAACTTCAAAGATCTAATTATAATTTCCCTGTTGTATAGAAGCTTTCAAACAGTATCTGTTTTTATCCCCACGCTTGACCCCTTAGTACCTCCAGAGCACATTGCCTTGCTTCCTGTTAGTATTCTCCAACTCGGAAGGCATTTACTTTGGCTTCCTCTATTCTTAGTTACCCTTCTTCCACCTACTTTCAATCTTCCAAGAAGTGTTAACCCCTTTCTTTTGCTATTTCCTCTCCCACCAGCTAGTCCTTGGGGTTTAATGCCTGTTTTGAGTCCTCTGCTATCAATGCAGGGGGAAGGCGCAAACCTAAATCTAGGTGTTAAATCCTCTGGTCCAGAATCTGGGAAAACATTCTCACTCTCCACTTGCCAGACTCTAAATGTATCAATTGGTTCATTTTATGAATGTAAAAGATTCAGAATTCCAAGAATCCAAACATTAGCCAGAAGAATTTTCCCACAAAGTCCTTTTTATTTATTTCACTAGAAATTACTCTTTATTGATTAAATCACCAGGAATTTTCAGCACAAGATTGAACATCTTAATGACCACCAAGGTTTGGGCTCTGGGGCTTGTTCTGCCTCTCCCAGTCCTTAAAGGGGTTTAGAGAGAGAGACGTCATTAACAGAGACCAAATCAGATGGTTGCAGGTCCTCCTTTCCCAGTCATTGGACAAGCTGCTCAATTCTTGTCCAGAGCAGGAAAGAGCCAGTACTTCAGAAAAATCTAATAAAGAATTTGACAATGCATGTAAGATCTCTCTTAACAATTTAGATTTACCAACAGTATTGGTCCAAACTTACTTGCTTCTGATCTAAATCATTTTGCAATTTACTTTTTTTTGGTGTGTAGGTAATTCTAATAAATAACCTCACTCCCTGTGCAGACAACCCAGTGCCAAGAAAAAAATCCCTCAAACCAGATTAGCCTCATCTTGCTCTTGGAAAGAAGTAACCTCTTGGAAAGAGGTTTTTCTGCTCCTTTTCCACATACGAGATGAACAAACCTCCCCCTGAAGTCCAAAATGTTACTTCTGGCCTTGGAATGTGCAGCTTGTGATGGGCTGATTCAAATCACCTCGAAAGGGCCACTGGAACTACTATGCAGTGCAGACAGCCTTCTTTGGAAATTTCTTCTTAAAATAAAGTTCTGAGAATCGCTAATGATTGTGTACAGAGGCTCTAAGGTCCAAACAACTTCTGCTATTCCATCTCACGAGCTAGGCTCAGAGGAGGCACTGGAATTGTCAGGAGCAAGAGCAGCAGCAGTGGCCCCACGAGGTAGGACCTCAATAACTCGAGGCTTGTCAATGATCCGGGCTGTCCGGTTTCCCTTTTCCACAATACCGACGATCCATGCTTGGTGACCCTCTCCATACTTGGAAGATTTGATTTCAGAACAAAAGCGAGCTGCCTGTTCTCTTGGCAGACAAATCAGTAATCCCCCAGAAGTTTCTGCTGAGGTTCCCTGAAGGAGCCCAAAGCGCCCACTGGCCTTGCTGATGGCAGCCATCTTGGCAATAATTGGCAGATTATGAATGACAAAGGACACCTCGTTTCTTTGTTGTTTTGCAAGGTTCTGAGAGTGTCCTAGGATGCCAAAGCCTGTGATATCTGTGGCTGCGTGTGCATTAAATGTGTGCATTAATCCAGCAGCAGTTCTGTTTAGGGTAGCCATGTTGAACATGGCTTCCTGATAAGCCAGCTCTACTTCTTCTCTGGAGACCACCATATTTATTTTATTCCATCTCTCGGGATTATCCAGCCATTGGTGGGCATTGACAGCAACTTGGGTTCCTAAGGGTTTGGTTAACACGAGCACATCCCCAACAACTGCGCTGTCGGGCATGATGAATTCATTTGGCTGACATACCACAGTGGCAACCCCACCGACGATAATCCAAGGGTTTACCACCGTTTGTCCCCCAGTCACTGCAGTCCCTCCTTCCTCAGCGGCATCACGAAAGCCTTTGACCATGAGTGGTGTTATCTTTTCTCGCTCCTCCTCAGTCATACTCTGGCTGACGCTGAGTAACATCAACATGTTGTCACATTCAGTAATGCCCATGGCGTAGAGGTCACTCAGCACGTTGGCACACGCTATGCGCCCCATCATGTAGGGATCTTCCACCAAGGGGTAAAAGAAGTCCGTGGTCTGCACCAGTGACAGGCCCCCGTGCCTCAGGGGTATGACGCAGGAGTCCATCCCAATGCCCAGGGCTGGAAAGGTGGCGTTGGGTTCGGCCCCGGCCGGCAGGCCGCCTTCCTGGGCCGCCTCTTCATGGCCTCCGACCAGGCCCAGGCCCAGGCCCAGCGGGGGCCGCACGTCTGGCCGCGTCAGTCCCGCCAGGAGTTTGAGCAGCGTCTCCTGGGGGACCTTGCAGCCTCAGCCCTTCATGCCGGAGAAGCCGGTCAGCCGCCAGCTCGGGCTGAGGCCCAGCGCCTGGGGCTCGAAGGGCCGGTAGCTCGAGAAGCCCCGGCCAAGAGACAAGCCCGCGGAGCCCGAGCCTTCCGCCGCCGCCACCACCTCGCCGCCGGCGACCGTCACCGCGGCTTCCGCCATCGCGCCTGCCGGGCAGGGAGGGAAAAGAGGAGAGGCGAGCTCCCTTCTATTTTCTACTCCAGTTACTACGGACTAACAGATAACACGGCAGAGATTCTCCCCGGCGCCACTCGCGCCCCGGACTCACTGCGCCCCGCGCGCTCCTGGCCTTCCTGGGGGAAGAGCCGCCGGCCTCCCCTACTTATAGTCCTAATGATTGACAGCCGTGCCATCCAATGACGACTTCGCTACCGAGAGGCGGGCTTCCTTTCGTCTAAAAGATAAATTACAAATCAACCAGCCGCTTGAGAAATTGGTCCCGGCGAGGTTACGCGGGAGTGCCGTGGTTCGCTCCCCTAGTTGTAATTTAAACGATCTCTAGGGAGCGGCTGGCGGAACTTTGCGCCCGCAGAGGCAATTTAGCAAGTGCAGCATTTTCGAAGACGAGGAGTATCGGTCACATGGCAGATCTCATGCAGGTCAGAATTGTCCTAGGGTCATTTGACAGCGCTCGTGACCAATCCAGGATAGGAAAATAGCCCAGGGAAAAATTCGGAAAGAATAATGAGAAATTAGATATTAAATTACTACCATTAAGCAAAAAAACCGTAGCATCAAAATAATGAAATGTTAAAATGGGCTTCAAAGAATTTTAAGGCTCAGGGGAGCCTAGCTGGCGGGAGAGCATGCGACCCTTGATCTCGGTATCGTGAGTTACAGCCCCACATTGGGGGCAGAGACTACATTTAAAGAATAAGATCTCAAAGTCTTTTAAGACTCTTAAGTCCACCACTGTGTGAGTCACTTTCCCTCTCCCGGAATCAGTTGACTCATCTGGACAACAAAGTGGCTTATCTTGTTCTGTTCTAAAGTTTCTATGTATCTTTAAGTTATTATGTAAGAGTATCTGTGATGTATCCATTAAGAGCAATTTGCCAATATCTATTAAGAATATAACTGCACATAAAAAAAAAAAAGAATATAACTGCACATAATACCTTTGACTCAGCAGTTCCAATTCTAGGACATCCTACAGATGTACTCAGAGCTGTGAGTGGGAAATGATAGAGTTGTTTTATTTTGTTTTGTTTTTTTCCTGTGCTGTTTGTAATATCGACATAGTGGAAACAACTTAAATGTTTATCAATTGTGATGAAGATAAATCGTGGTACATTTATATGATAGACTACCCAAGCAACTCTAAAACAGAATGAGAAAACATTGATGTAATTATATTGATAATAGTTACAAGCCTAAGAGGCACAGTTCTAAATGCTTTAGTATATTAACTTAGTTCTTACAAAAACCTTTGAGTTAGGATTCTTTCCACATTTTACAGGTAAGGAATATACTGCACAGAGAGATTAAATGACCTACTCAAGGTCATAGCCAGTTTAGAATGGAGCTGGATATGAATCCAAGCAATCTGTTCCAAAGACCACCAGGTTATATTGCCTGTGATGTTTGTTAAGAGAAACAAGCAAACTTCAGAGCAATATTTATAGAATACTATTATTTGTTGTAAAAGGGGGGGAAATATATTCAATGGCATATTTCTGGGAGGAGAATCACCATAAACCGGTGAATTGATTGCCTCTGGGGAGGGAATGAGGTGGTTGGGGATGGGAGATTCTTCATTGTATTGTCTTTTTGTTCCTTTAACATTTGGAACTTAAACATTTTTTTAAATATTTGAGTGTATTACATACTTAAAAGAAAAAAAAAAGAACAACCTGCCTATGGGACTATAAATTGGTGCAACCATTTTGTAAAAGAGTTTGGCCTTAACTGATTAAATCAAACATGCACAAATTCATGCATTTCACCCATAGGTGGAACTCCCCAGCAATTCTACCCATAAAACATGCCCTAGAGAAACTCTTGCAAAGGTGCCTCAGGAGACACGTGCAAGAATGTAGGAGCTCTGGAGATTGATTACACGACAACGTGAAGGTACTTAACACTACTGAACTATACACTTAAAAAAGGTAAGATGGTAAATTTTATGTTATGTGTATTTTACTACAATTAAAAGTATAAAAACACAGGAGATACTTATAGCTCTTATAGTAAGTCATTACATTTGGTTTTATTATTAAGGCATGGAGTAAATTGGAAGAAACTCGAACATTAAAATTAGACTGAGTTGCAGTCTTGGCTCTCCTAATGACCTTGGGCAAATTGTCTAACCTCTAGGACCCCTTTTCACTACCTATAAAATAGTCCTTTCACCTGAAGATAATGACAGAAACCAGACGGAGTGTTTATGAGAATTAAATTTTAAAAATGTGTGTGAAGCTCCTAACACAGTTCCTGGCTGATGATAAGCTGTTCATTTTAACTACTGTTAATGTGGATGTAGGGGCTGGAATTTAAATTCACAAAAGTTGTAACATCTTGGAAATTTTTTTTATAAAAACAAGTCCATTTGTCTTCCTAAAGAAAAAGAAGACTGTAATGCCAGGACACTGGAAACAACCTGTGTGTCTGTTAACAGGGAATGCATAAACGAATCACGGTATAACTACACAATGGAATATTGTTTATCTGTGAAAATGAATGATAGGTCTAGGCATCATCAATAAGAGTAATCTCAAAAACAAAATGTTGGGAACAAGAAGCCAGTTGCAGAAGAATCCATAAACTAAGATGCCATTTATATAGAGTTCACCAGGCAAATCAATATAATATATTGATAAGAGATGCAAAATGACAAAAAATGTTTTTAAAAATAAGAGAGTGGATGATTAACAAAATTTGGCATAGGGATTACTTCTGGGGAAGGGGGCCTAGGGGACCCGGACTACGTTAAGTTCTGTTCCTTGGGCGGGGTTATAGTTACATGATGTTCTTTAAACCATACACATCTATTTTCCCACGCTCGTTTTGTAAGCTGTATGTTAACATTAAAAAAAAAAAGAAAATGTGCTGTATTTTAGAATTAAAAATACTGAAGGTAACTGAGGGTTGCTGGAGTGGAGGGGGGGTGGGAGGGATGGGGTGGCTGGGTGATGGACATTGGAGAGGGTATGTGCTACGGTGAGTGCTGTGAATTGTGTAAGACTGATAATTGATGAATCACAGACCTGTACCCCTGAAACAAATAATACATTATATGTTAATAAAAAAATAAAAATACTAAAGGGAACATGAAATAATGAAAAAGCAAGAGATGTGGAAGCAAAAGACCTCTGGATATTGTCTGACCTTTGGGTTTGCTGTCAGTGAGCTGTCTGCCCTTGAAGAAGTGATATAACCTCTGTACACCTTAGTTTCCACTTCTGTAAAATGAGGGTCATCATCTCTGCTTAGGATCTGGTATAGGGGTCCTATGAAAATCTCAACTATGAAAGTCTCCTTGCAAAATGTTCAGTGTATTGTACCTGTGAAGGATCTTCCTATCACTAAGGGAAAAATGGAAACACTTTACTACATCTGTAGTCACCTCACCTGGGTTAAAAAGTGACTAGATCAGGTGCCCCTGTTATATGCTCTCTTTGTTCTTTGGACTTTCTCCTCTCGGCATTTAGGACAGTTTGTAATTTTTTTTTTTAAGATTTTATTTATTTATTCATTTGACAGAGACAGAGCAAGAGAGCACAAGTAGGGGGAGCGGCAGAGGAGAGGGAGAAGCAGGCTTCCCGCTGAGCAGGGAGCCCGATTCCGGGCTCAATCCCAGGACCCTGAGATCATGACCCGAGCCGAAGGCAGACCCAACTGAGCCACCTTTTTTTTTTTTTTTAAAGACTTTATTTATTGGGCGCTTGGGTGGCTCCGCCTGCTTGTGCTCTCACTCTCTGGCAAATAAATAAATAAAATCTTTAAAAATGTAAAGATTTTAGGGCACCTGGGTGGCTCAGTCGTTAAGTGTCTGCCTTCGGCTCAGGTCATGATCCTAGGGTCCTGGGATCGAGCCCCACATCGGGCTCCCTGTT